TGGAGTTGAATATTTCCTTCAATTTGCATACAATAGCCTTGGTCTTCAATCAAATGATTTAATCAGATGTCCTTGTACGAAATGTTTTAATTTACCGTTGATGACTCGGGAAATGGTATGGGACCATCTTACTAAGTATGGTTTTATGAATGCGTATTCTGTTTGGTGGGCACATGGTGAGACATTTATGAATTCAGCAGATCCATGGTCTGCTACTAATCTGGGAGAATCATCACATAGCCAAGATACACACCATGATGAAAGGAATGACTTTCGTGAAATGGTGTATGATGCATTTTGTCCAGAGGATGATGATAATCGGGAAATGGAAGGTAATTTCCCCAATCAACATCTGGATGAGGAACCAAACAAACTAGCAAAGGCATTTTATGACTTGCTTCATGCATCTACAATTCCACTTGGTAATGCTAAAAGAAATGAGACAGTGCTTACTTGGCTTTCTTATATGTTTCATACAAAGATTGCAAATAATATAGCTGCTAATGGTTTTAATGCCATTCTTAAAGGATGTAGAAGGTTGTTAAGTGCTGAAGATCAAGAAAAAGTTCCTTCAAATTTTTATGAAGTAAAAAAATATATGAAGGGGCTTGGGTTAGGTTATCTAAAAATTGATGCTTGTGTTAACAACTGCTTTTTATACTATGGGGAGTATACAAAAACATTGACTACATGTCCAATTTGTGGAGAAGCGAGGTATAAACAGAGAAATCCAGGGAGGAATAGACAAAAGGATATTTCGAGGAATTCTCTTTGGTACTTGCCAATAATACCTCGCCTTCAGAGACTATACATGTCTCGAAAAATAGCTGAGCACATGACATGGCATTTGAAATGTTGTGGTGATACGGATGAGGTCATTCATCCAGCACAATCAGAAGCATGGAGACATTTTGATCAAATGCATCCTTCTTTTAAAAGAGAATCTCGTAATGTTCGATTAGGTCTTGCTACTGATGGTTTCAACCCATGGACTCATTCTTCAACCTCCTACTCTTATTGGCCAGTTTTTTTAATTGTTTATAATTTGCCACCAAAGATGTGCATGCGACCAGAGTTTACTTTTCTTACATTGGTCATTGTTGGTCCAAAAAGCCCAGGCAAAAATATCGATGTTTTCCTTTGACCTTTAATTGAAGACTTGAAAATGTTATGATCGACTGGTGTAGAAACATATGATAGTTATTGTAAGCAAAACTTTATAATGCGGGCTATGTTCATATGGACCATAACTGATTTTCCGGGTTATGGTATGGTGGCTGGTTGGAGCACTCATGGCCAATTGTCATGTCCTTATTGTATGGAGATGACACAATCTTTTTATCTTCAAAATGGTCGGAAACTATGTTTTTTTTATTGTCATCGTCAGTTTTTACCAGAATTACATTGTTTCAGATTGGTTAAATACTCTTTTTGGTCCCTCTATTATAGGAAAAAACCCCTTTTTAGTCATTGTACCAAAAAAATCCCTTTTTTAGTCCTTACTGTTCACAAATCCGACCCCTTTTTAGTTCTTCCGTTAATTTTTGCTCACGTGTCACGTTAACTTAACTGGAACGGCTGATGTGGATATGCCAACATGTCAAAGATGCTTACATGGACTTAATGACATCCTCCATGTCACCCTCTCCCGCGTGAAAAATTAAAAAAAAAAGGTTAAACACTAAATTTGATTCCTCAACTTTATAAGTTGCACTTTTTTTGTCTTAAATTTTTTTTTTCATTTTTTTATCTTTGAACTCTAAAAATTATATAATTTTAATCATTCCATCAGTTAAATATAACGTGACAATTAAATAATTTCATTTGACATTTTCTTTTAATTTTTTTTATGACATGACAATTATATATATATATATATTATATTTATAGTATATAGATAAATAAAAATGTCACGTAAATAAATATTTATATTTTAATTAAGGTTAAAGTACTATTTTAGTCCCTCAACTTTTCATTTTGATACCAAAATTATCTTTTATCTTTAAAAAATATCAAAACTATTCTTAAACTTTCATTTTTGGTACCAAAATGATCTTTTCGTCAATTAAATGACAAGTGACACGTTAAAATGCCACAAAATCAATCACATGAAAAAAAAACACAGTTGACTATTTTTTATGAGGTGGTATTTTTATTTTATTTTTTGGTACATTGAGGTGGTATTTTTATTTAATTTAAAATTGTTGATATCTTTTTTTTCCATCCACGTATCTCTTCTTCCTTTTTTACTTTCTCTTTCCTTTGCCTTTCCTCTTCCCTTACCTTTGCAAACCCAGATCTGGGTTCTCTTGCAAACTTCATCTTTTTCCTCCTATCCTTTCCCTGCTCATCCTTCTTCCCTCTTCTTCTTATTCTTTCTCTCTCTCTCTTCTCCCTTCTTCTTCCTCTCTCAAACCCAGATCTGGGTTTTAGAAAAGCTGCTTCCTTCTTCGGCTTGCTTTCCGAAACGACACTGATGTCCTCACCCGGTGATGCTTGCTTTCCGTCAAATCAAACTCCAATAAAGTGGAGAGTGAAGATTGCTTTCCGTCAGCAAGGGCAAGGTTGTTTTGAACTTGCAGCATTTCCGCGACGAGAATAGATGTAACAGGGCGGAGCTTTTTGAGCTCGGCGATGACGGCCGAGTTCCCGTTCCTCCAGAAGGTATCGAGAGTGAAGCGTGAGATGGGTGAAAATTTTGGGTTTTGGTGAGGCATGTGAACAGACGGGGGTGATGGGGATTCGGAGAGGTAGTGTGGATCCCATTTACGGAGGTCGAAGGGTTGAGAGTCAGGTGGACGAGTTTGGGGGTCCTTGAGAGTCTGGCGGTTGGAGAAGAGACCAAGGTGGACTACAGGGTGATTTTGAGACGGCTTCCGGCGGCCGTAGAAGAAGTAGGGCTTTGTGTCTGCGGTTCTGGCCTCCTAGTCACTGCCCGGTTCAACAAACTCGGTTACCTCCTCCGCCACCCCTAATTCCCATCCCTTGCCTGTCCGTGAAGATTGCTGGTCTGAAGAGGCCACGTCCACCTTCGTCGACTCCTGGGGACGCCTGGGGCCGCCTGGGTTCGGCGTCGGTGGATGATGGATATTTTAGAAGGAATTAGTCAACCCTTGCTGCAGCTGTAGCAACAGTAGAGAGTGAAGAGGAAGAAGTAGGTGAAAGCGAGGGAGAGGAAAGTGATCAAGGTGAAGGGGAAGAAAAGGAGGGTATAGATCTGGTTTTGTTCTTTTGCTTATTTTGTGTTTTCTATGTGTATTTTCTGAGTTGATTAAGTGGTTTTCGTGTCGATTATTTTCGAGATTAGATCTGCAGTTGGCTTGTATGTGATTTGGCTCGAATTGCTTTTTTTTTAGAAATTCTTTACTCTTTTTAATCTATGCTCCTTTCTGTTAGTTGGCTTAGGAGATCTCGGCTTTGCTGTTTAGTATATTCGAGATTAGTTTCCATGTTATGTGATGAAACCCAAATTTGGGTTTGAAAGAGGAAGAAGGAAGGAGAAGAGAGAGAGAGAGAAAGAATAAGAAGGAAGAAGGATGAGCAAGGAAAGGAAAGGAGGAAGAAGATGAAGTTTGCGAGAGAACCCAGATCTGGGTTTGCAGAGGCAAGGGAAAAGGAAAGGTAAAAGAGAGAAAGTGAAAGAGGAAGAAGAGATGACGTGGATGGAAAAAAAGGATATCAAAATTTTTAAATTAAATAAAAATGCCACCTCATAAAAAAAAAAAGATGGCCAACTATGTTTTTTTTTTCCCATGTCATTAGTCAAGCAAAAAAAGAATTGATTTTGTGGCATTTTAACGTGTTATCTGTCAAGCAAAAAAAAAAAATTGATTTTGTGGCATTTTAACGTGTTATCTATCATCATTTAACTGACGGAAGGATCATTTTGGTACCAAAAATAAAAGTTTAAGGTTAATTTTAGTACTTTTTAAAGGTGAGGGACAATTTTGGTGTCAAAGTGGAAAGTTGAGGGACCAAAGGGTAGAAAAAAAAGGAAAGAGAAAGAAAGAAGGGGAAAAAGAGGGATTAGGAGATGAGGGTAGTAATGTAATTTTATTTTTTAATTAAAATATAAATATTTATTTACATGACATTTTTATTTATCTATATATTATAAA